CCCCTTCTCGGGGGTGGGTGAGGCCTGTGCCTACCATGGGCTCGGCTGTGGCAGCTGTTGGAGCCTGCTGGTGCGGTGTCATGTTTTGCCACCCCATCACCGGCATGTGGCTTTGCCTTGCAGCTGGATGATGCTCACCCGGCTCCTCCTCACCTCAAGGAAGACCAAGGTGGGTGCCAGGAGTGGGGCTGCGGGGTCTCTGGGTTCCCTGCTCTACCTGCCCGTGGTCCTGCAGCCATCAGGGCACGTCCCCATGCTGCTGTCACCATCTCACATCTCCCCTGCAGACCTGGACTCCCAAGTCTCCTCGGCAGGGTTGGGGACCATCTTGAGACCCGATGAGCCGAAGTCCCACTCTTATTTCCAGAGCGTCTCCGTCACCAAAGTGACTCTTCCTGACGGGGTGAGTGTCCCCTGCAGGTGCAGCAATAGGCAGTGGGTGACCTGGGGACACTGTCCCCGGCGCAAGGAGCAGAGCCCAGGCTGGTGGCATCTCTCAGGGCTTGATCCTCTGCGCAGGCGGTGGAGGAGCGTCGGACCGTGCAGGACAGCCAGGGCCGCCGGGAGACAACAGTGACCCGCCGAAGGGGTGACCAGGCCTTCATCACCACCACCAAGGAGGATGGGCAGAGCAAGGACTACCGGGAGGAGGTGGTCAACATGGATGACCGTGAGTGGGGTGCTGAGGAGGGTGAGGGGAGTGGGCCAGGTCCCCTTGAGTGAGCTCTCCCTGCTCTCCCAGGGGAGCTGGCGCAGTTCGCAGGCACGTGGCCGCGGCAAGATGAGCTCCGCGCCCCCAACCTGAGCGATCCCTCGTCCGCACTGGGCAGCTTCTTCCGACGCTGGTTCTCAAGCTGGTAGCTGTGCCCCCACCCCCAGCTGAGCACCCCGTATGTGTGATAGGTGTGGGGTGGGGGGACGCTGGGGCTTCCCAGTGCTGTGGGGACGGACGCTGGTGTGGGAGCCAGGGCTGCCGGCTCCATCCAGGGTGCGCGGTGGGCGGCAGCCTCTTCTCACCACCTGTTTTTGTTGCAGATGGGTCAGATCCTGCTGGGAGCTGGTGCCCGGGCTGGGGGCTGCCTGCCTTGTGGGGTGCTGCGGAGCTGCGAGGACCCCCCACGGGAGCCCAGTGTGTGTGTGTGCATGTGTACAGAGCAATAAAGTCTATTTATGCTAACGGTGACCTGCCAGGCTCCTTCAGGTTGGAAACTCCACAAATCAGAGACAGGGACCCCGCATGGCTGCCGGGGTGGCCCCTGGGGGCTGCCCCACAGGTGCTGGCAGCCACTGGGCTCCTCTGCCCTGGCCCCGTGCCCGCGCCGCTCCCTCCCCACCTCCCTCTCCCATTTCCCTGCCTGCCCGGCGCTCTGCTAACGCCTCCCCTGGGCCACGTTATCCTGGGAGCCTTTCCAAGGCCTCTTCATTAGCGCTGCCTGCGGTTGTGGCTTGGGCAGGGATCTGGCAGGGAAAAGGGGGGGCTCCCCGGAGCGGTAACACCCATGCTGGCTCACCTGAATGAGGTCTTGATGCCCCACGGCTACCTGGGGATCCTCGGGGGCTCCCGCCAGGTCCGGTCCTACCAGGGGATAACATGACCAAAGGGGGAATCTACAGGCCAGTCATCCTCACCTCGAACTGCAGAAAGGTTATGGAGTAAATTTTCCTGGAAAACATTTCCAACATTCCAGACACATGAAGAAGTAGAAGGTGATTGAGGAGAGCTGACAAAGATTCATCAAGAGAAAATCGTGCCTGATCAACCTGATTGACTTCTGTGGCTGCTCTGGCTCTGTGGGTAAGGGGATGCAATGGATGTAATTTACTTTGATTTTACCAGAGCTTTCCATATCTTCAGTAGTATCCTTCTACACAAATTTGGGAAATATAGACCGTTGAGGTGTACTACATAGTGTATAAATAACTAGCGGCGGTGGCAGGCGCTGGGGGTCCCAGAGCTCCCCTGCCTGTCCCTCGCCTGGGGGCGTGGGGGGATTTGGGGCTACGCCATACTCCATGAGTGGTTTGGCACTGTCCAGCCTCCCGCTTGGACCCTGATTCCGCAGCGTGGTGTGCCCTCTGCTGCAGCGGCTGCAGTGCAATAAGGGCACGGGCGCTGCCATGCAGCACCTGAGGGAGCGGTGCTGGGCAGCACCGGCCTTGATGTCTCGTGCCCTGGACCAGGCAAAGGTTGGGGCTCCGGAGCTGCACTTGGAATTTGGGCTGCATCCCGTGCCAGTGAACGGTGATACCCTGGCTGACCTGGTGGCACTCCTTCCCAACTTTCTCCCTAGCAAAGCAGATTACTTAATTGCTGATAAATTGTTTACCTTGCTGTCAAAATCACAAGTGAAACTAGTAGCCACCTCCCTGCCTGTCCCTGTCTGGCACCCAAAGCTGGAGCCCAGGCGATGTGGGAGCAAGACCACAGAGCCAGTGCAGGCAGAGGCACCGGAGCCGCCTTCGCCTCGCCGCCCTTCTGCTGCCTGGGATCGGTGCTCATCCCGCCGGAGGTTGCAGCGCGGTGGGGCAGTGGCCCCTGGCGAGCTGGGGAGGGGGGGAGGTCAGCGAGGGGAGGCCATGGTGGAGCCCTGTCCCTCTTCTCCAGCTGATCACCCTGAGCGGCTCGGCACAGATGGTCACCAGCTCCGAGACAAAGGGGAACTTGCTCAGTGCCTACATGGCAGGCGCCCTGGCTGTCATGGTGGCTGTCTACACGGCGGGAGGAGTCTCAGGTGAGGCTGGGGAGGGGGTCCCAGCTCCTGCTGTCCCCCAGCTCCATATCCCCCATGACCGTCCACTCCCAGCCCTTCTCCCCGCTCCGTTGCAGGGGCCCACCTGAACCCGGCCTTCTCACTCTCCATGTGCCTGGTGGAGCAGCTTCCCTGGTGGAAGTTTCCCATCTTCATGACTGTGCAGACCTTGGGATCTTTCATTGCCGCCGGAGCCGTCTACGTCCTCTACTATGGTATGGGGAGGTGGGTGGGCTCCCGGTGGTGGAGGAACACCGCGGCGGTGGTGGCATGGCCAGGCTCGTGAATGGGCTCTGCCTCTGCTCTGCAGA